GATCTTACATGAATAACCACAGATATTATATTAGTTTATAAGTTACATATAGTATATTAGTTTATAAGTTACATAAGTTAGTTTTAAAAAAATGATAAATATCCCTAATTAGGCCCTACGTTTCTCATTCATAAATTATTTTTCGTTTATATTTATTTCTGAACTTTTTAAAAATTTTATTTCATGCTTTTTATCAAACGGTTCTTAAGAGTGAACACGTATATCTCTTCAAAGTAATTATTAGTAATACATAATAAATTAAAATTCCACGTCCAGTGAATGGAGAAGAGAAAATAGTGGGTTTGCATCATTGGAAAGGAAAAGTTATTAGAACAGTAATTGAATTGTTTTCAGAGTAAAAAGGACACTTTAAATTAATACTATTACGGTTAGGCCTAAAAAGAAAATAATGTTATTATGGCCCTACTTATTGCGATGAACAATTCAATTTGCCTATGCCCAGTGAGTTAAGTGGATTGATTACTTTGTGAGATTCTGGTGGATCCTCCATCATCATAACACCCACTTTTCCAACCAATAAAGTCTCTAATATTTATCACAATATAATGATATTCCACAGTTTAATGAATAATAAATATAAAAGATTAAGCAAATGCAATGTGGGGTTCTCTGAAACTTTTCATTTTGCTAGGGGAAAAAAATTTCTTTGCCACTAAAATGCAGGATTTGGATCCTACATCAATCAGTGTTCAATAAACACCCTACTTTCTCTTTGTTTAAGAATTTAAATTAGTTTTATTTAATAAAAGTTGGGACTAAAATATTATTTTAGCTTTTATATTCTTCTTCTTTTGAAATAAGACAAACGGTAGAACCTGAAATATATGGATATAATTTACGTGATATAAAATTATTTGCCTCCCCTTTCACCTTTTTTGACTCCAATCCATCAGCTTGAGATGGCCAACCTAACAAAGCAAAAGTGAAAAAACCAAAATAAATAAATAAATAAAGAGACGACGCATCCATTTGCTTGGTTCACATTTCCTCTGGAAATGTCTTTTCAAAACATTGTTGATACTTTATATCTCTTCTTTTATGGAGTCCCCATCGTTCCAGACACAGCATATGCTGTCCTTTAAAAAGTCACAACATTTTTAATGGACCCTTCCCTTGCGATCAAGTTTGAAATCAATTCTTGTTGGATGGAGAATGAAATAAAAGAAGAAAACGTTTTTTTTTTGTACAAAAGTTAGTTTAAATGCTTAAATAATAACAAAATAATAAATCTGCATGAGAAACCAACGCATAGCTGACTACTAATATTTAATACCAAGGGCCGCCTAATATGTCGACCAGTGTGACTAAGCCCGTAATTCACGGACACTGAGGAAAACAAGGCATAGCAAACTGACCCTTTTTTGCCCTTTTTTGGTGGCAAACTACCCAACTCACTATTGTTTGCCTCAATTGCCAAAAATTACTTTCCTTCTTAAGTTGTAAGTGATTATTGTTATAAATACGTATAAAACTTTTTAAGAATACTATGTAATAAGGTACAAGATAATAATATTGTATTGATGTCATCGGTGAACCAAGATTAGACAATGGCAGAATTCTGAACCAAACAGTGTTATTATTATTTGGTCAATTCGGCATCATTTGGGCCCTAAGTCCAAAACAAAATCAACTTTATGTTAAGCCCATTAGCTGCGAGAACATCTGGGTGTTGGGCTCGGATGGAAAACCATAGACAAAGGATAATCATACCCTCCAAAACGGAACCATGCAACTAGGCCCATACAAATTCCACTTCTCGTCTGATAATGGGCCCCTTCAATTGGACCGATAAAAGCTTAAATACGGTTTGGCGGGGTGCGCCAGGCCCGTGCAGCAGTGCAACGCATGGGCGACGCGCGAGGACCCCAGTAGCAAGCTACTGTGGTGGATCCTCCCCCTTAAAAAATTAATTTAATATCATGTGGGCCGATGGCCCACGTATCAGATATTAAACTGATAAGAACAGATACTACACTTGATCTTAGCCAAAAGGCCGAGAAAGGTATGCTTTGAAAGAAGGGTTTCCTTGGCTTATATATCTGCTCAGTGCTTTCGTTCACATACAACTCTCCGATGTGGGACTAGGTTTTAGGCATTCCGAAAGCTCTCATTCACGGGCAAAGCAAGAGCAACAGAACGTGGTGACGCTGAATGAGTTAGTCCAATGGTGTGAAGGGGAGGAGTCACTTTAAGGAGAACTGATCAGAAAACTTGACATGTTTTTTCTTGCTGCTTCCATGAGAGCTCCATTAAAGATTAGCTTCTATTTTTCTGTTCCCTTCTTATTGATGATGAGCTGTTTGATGCCCTTGGATTTTGTGCCTAACTGAGTTTTGGCTTAGATTATGCAACCTCATGCCCTAATTATAAAACCATATTTGTAGTTTATAAATGAGATCTTATCATTCCAAGTTTTTCTCGTAGGTTTATCTTCACCTCCCTAATATGCTTTTTCACATACTCATCCGATCCTTAATATAAGATCTATTTAACTAATTTGATTAGATTAAGAAAGTCAAATAAGTTAGTTAATTATAAGAAAAGTGACATTTTTTTTAAAACACCATAATCATCTTTCTTAATACCCCATCTTCTTCTTCTACTTGATTATGGTTGAGTAAGTATTTATAGGAATAATTTAGAAAAATTGATAAATATGATAAATAAGTCTTATATTTAGGATTAAAACTAACTCAAGAATTAGATCCTATATTAAAGATCGGAGGAGTATTTTGTTTGGCATTTTAGGGCCTGATCCTTAAACTTATGTGCGCATGAGGTCGTCGTCGTGGCATTAAACTTCTCTGCACCATTGAATCTTTCAATTTTGTTGGGGAATGCAGATGTGCTCAACAAATCTGTCAGATAAGGAAAACTTATGGCACTTCCTTTCTAAGCCCTTCAAGCCCTCAGGGTAGACTGATGAGCCGGCAAAAGTAAACAAATGACATGGAAATTACTATTGAAACTTTCATATAGGAAATGCACGTTGGTTGATCACAAATGCTTAATAAGCAAACATTTCTGAACTAAATTGAGGGGATATGGGATTACCGGGGGGGGGGGGAATTGAGGGGATATGGGCTAGTACTACTTCCATATTTGAACAGATGTGTACATCCTTGATATTAAACTGGCGCAAATTTGAAGAAATATGCATATGGAGTCTCCGAGTGACAAATGGAGTGATAAACTATCATATGAAACAAACAGCAACATATGATAGGTCTGAACTGCAAAGTGAGTGGAGTTGGTGATAATTGCTTTCCTGCCATTAATCACTATATATGGTTGCGCTTTTTGCTTGAAATTGAAATGATCATGACTAATTCAGTTGACTCGCGAGAGCCTCCTACGCTCGCAGTAGACATAACTCCGACTACTACTGCCATTCCTCCAGATTCAAGTTCCAACAAAAGCTGAAGTAGTTGCCAAAGTGGAATAAAAAATAACAGAGAGAATATGCCAGCTTGAAAATACAGATGCTGATTTCGAATTTTCTGCTTTGATTTCTGACGCCTTAGTGATTCAGTGCTGCCGTCGATCAGTTGCTGTTGACACTTGACATACTCAGAATCTTTCCTGCTACTACTATAAAAGAAGAGAGGCTTTTGTAAGTTGGCTGATGAAGTCATCAGAAACTACTCCCGTGAATAAAATATCATGCAAATGGCAATGCTTGATCTGCTTGCCTTGGGCAGGTCCTGTGTCATTCTTCGTTTACATATTTTTGTGCTTGACTCATTGAAGGCATCCCTCTGCAAAGCAGGAGGTGAAGATTGTTAGTTTTGGCATAGCCACCTCTATGAATAAATTTCCAAGACCCAAGTGAACTGATAGATGTTGGAAATCAATCGCGTTCGATGGTCAGGTGTGTATTTGTCAGGTTTTAAAACTAAATGTTTGCACTCTAGTTACATCTCATATTCAGTCCTCCCGGTTTTCCATCTTCCTCTTTCCACACAGCTTAAGGCTTCCCCCCCAAAAAAAAAAGACGAAGAAAAAATTAGTTTTTGTGATTCGTTTATTTATTCTCTTCCTGTCGCCAAACTAATGTAGATGAATGCAAGTACCTTGAAACCATCAAATTTTATCTCCTTGCAACGGCATCAGGGAATTTGCAGATTGCTGTTAAGTGTTAACAACCTGTTTAACAGCTGCTGCAGCATTACCTTAATCTACAACACCAGATTCTCCATTTCAGCTCCCTTTGATCATTCTTGGTTAGTAGTGGATTTTTCATTTCAGTTCCCTTTGATCATTCTGGTTAGTAGTGTGCACAGCTCAGTCATAGATATTACGCTCATTGGCTCTATCTCCAATCTCGGTAGGAGCAGACCTTGCAGGTCTGGGCAGAACTGCAGCAGTTGATTGCTGACCTTTGAGAGCGAAGGATTTTTTGTTGCTGATTAAAGGTGGAGGACGAAAAAGATTCCTAACATAAATGCAGCCAGCCAGCCAGAATAATCTGGAATACGAAAATATATATAGATATATATATATAGAGAGTAAAAAGATCTGAGACGCCATTCATACACATAATTGCCTTGTCCAAGACTTCAGTTTCCCACTTCCCAGCCCTATTATAACTGATCATAGCATCAAAGCTTTCATCTCAGGGTCCACTCAACTGATAATAGCATCAAATCTTTCCGTGAGTTTTGGATTGTCTAGTTTTTTTCCTTCTGTCAAGCAGTGTCAAAAAGCTCGCACATATAGTGGAGTTTAAGAATCAATATCCTTGAAGCTCGCACTTTCAATTTTTCATAGCTCCAACTTTGAAGTGTATGCTCCTTCTATCAGCCATCTTACCTCATTTCTTTTAACATTAACTTCTTCTCCAGTCGGTGCATGACTGAGGTTTCATACATAAGACAGCCACACTAACTTTGAAGTGTATGATACACAAGACAGCCATGATTCTAACTCACTAACAAAATGTGCGTAAAGGCATAAAATGGCAAAATCCCAAAATCCCGGAAACGAAACGTAGCATATAAAAATGAGATTCAATTTTTTTCTTTAATCATTGCAAGAAACTACTCGCAGAGTTTATGAACTTGCACTAAAAGCAAATGGCTTAGAACAGCCACACTAAATGAATGTAGCTCAAAATAATTTAGTACAGACAACCGCTACACAGAAGGACGGAAGCAACACTTTCATAGAAAGGAAGAAGTACCAATCATCTTGCTTTGTGTGGTTAATTCACAGCTCCAAAATCCGAGTTAGCCGGTTATCATAGTTCCGGCACCCTGATCGGTCATTACTTCCAGAAGTAAAGAGTGAGGTACTCGGCCGTCAATGATACTGGTGGTTCTAACTCCTTGTGCAAGCGATCGCACACAGCAATTCACCTTGGGGATCATTCCCCCACCAACCTTGCCTTCCTCTATCATCCTCTTCACCCCTGATATATCAATCTCCTTCACCAAGCTCTTAGGGTCGTCCCGGTCCTCCAGTATCCCCGCAACATCCGTCAGCAATATCAATTTCTCAGCACCTAGCGCCGCAGCTAATTCTCCAGCCGCCGTGTCGGCATTGATGTTATAAGCCTGGCCCAGATTATCGGCAGCCACGGACGTCACCACCGGAATGTGATTGTTATCAATGAGTGGCCGGAGAATCGAGGGATCAACCTGAGCAACCTCACCAACAAAACCCAATTCGGCGGCTTTGGGGCTCGGGCGAGCCGTCATAAGCCGTCCATCAATGCCCGAAAGCCCAACAGCAGTGGCCCCAGCCTTATTGATGAGTGACACGAGGGTCTTGTTCACCTTGCCGACTAAAACCATGGAAACAATCTCCATCGTCTCAGCATCCGTAACTCGGAGGCCATCACGAAAAACTGCCTTAATGTTGAGACGGCTGAGCCACTGGTTTATCTCCGGTCCACCGCCGTGGACCAGTACGGGGCGAAGACCGACATAGGAGAGAAGAACGAGGTCGTTGATGACGGATCCTTGGAGTTCCGGCGACTTCATGGCGGCTCCTCCATACTTGACGACAATAGTTTTTCCTCGAAACTTTTGGATGAAGGGGAGGGACTCGGAGAGAACATCAACGCGAAGCTGATCGGAGGCGAGTGAATCGGGAAGAGTGGGGATTTGGACGGAGTTGGCAACGGCTGAGACGGAGAATTTGGGAAGGGAATGGAATGAGAGATTGGGACTGTTTGGACGAGAAGTTTTGCTGTTAGGGTTTTTGCAGATCAGAGGGAATGAAGATGGAAAATTTGTAAGGGTTTTAGCTGCCAACATCTCAGAGAAGTGAAGAAAGCAGAATGCGGCGGAGAAACAATGATCAATGTTCTAATTTTCGAACACGTTTCGCCAGTTTTCTCCCCAAAGCCACAACTTATAGATCGTTTACTGTACCTTGTAGTAAAGTTTTATTTTTAAGGAGTTTATATATATATATATATATATATATACATTTTTCCTTTACATGAACCTTTTTCTTTCTTTTACATTATCACTGAACAGTAGTATGATAGAAAATAAAAGGAGAATTACAATCAAGTCTCACAAAAGAGAAATAAATACTAAAAGGTCCTAATAACAATTTGAACAGCCTATAATGACAAGTTCTATAGTAAGAATGACAACCTCTGGAACCTGTCCTTCAATTCTTTTCCTTACTTGAAACCTCATTGTAATTCTTCCAAAAATAAAATATCTCAAAAAGGTATTGATATAATTTAAAATATGTAAAATATTGTATCAATTATATTTTCAATGGTCATTCTATAAATATAAACATTAATATATATATATATATATATATATATATATATCAGTATAAACACATAAGTTGAATATCTTATTGTAGTAGTTATTTATAAAATTTGAATATTTTGCCTCAACTTGGGTGCTGATAACTTTTTCTTTTGGAAAAAATTGCCAAATATTTAGGTGAATTTATTTTTAGTTGACAGCAGTGTAGAATTCTTTAACAAATTAATACTCATGCATAGTTTTTATTACCCAGACAAAATTATAGTAAGAGTTTAAGGGTGAGTGGTGAAACTGCATTATAATATCAATGGCATCCCTAAAAACTTTTTTCAAAACATTAAGAATACGGATGGAGAATGACAATTAAAAACCTGTATGAAAACTAATACAAAATGAAGACATGTTTACCACTAAAGTTTACAAGTCAAACTTCAATATTTACAGCTTAAATGTCCTCAATTTTACATTGTCATTCTTCTTTCAAGATATACCAGGCTTTTTTACCAAAATACTATAAACAGTAAAATTATATATCAAAATGCTGTGGTTTTAAAAGTATTTACTAATATGTTGCACTTAAAATTGTTCTTGATAAGAATAACTTTCAAATTACACACAAGTTGTTCTTGGCGTGAACAACTTCAAAAGTTGTTCTTGTCGTGAATGACTTCAGAAATCGTTTACGCTAAAAATGATTCCTAAAGTCATTCAAGAACGATTTTACTTTTTTTCTATTCACTCTCCATGCAAGAATCTCTGTCAATTTTGCATGCAAGAATCTCTAAAACTATACACGCGAGAATCCCATTCTCTTCCTATGAGGCTACGGCATCATATATGGTTTTATATAGAACATGTTGCTCTCTCTTCTCCTCCTCCTCTTACTTCATCTCTAAAATCTGAATTCTCTCTTCTTCTTCTTATTCTTCTTCTCACTTGCTCTATTTTCATTATTCTTTTCCTTTGTTATTTTTTTACTTTTGTTTCCAAACACTTGACAAGCTCTTTTACTGCTGTTATAGATATATTGTTTTTCTTCTATTTTTTCTTTTAAAAAACTTGCAGCCATGATATAGAATCTGATTTTTTATCCACACTACTCTTGATGAGTTAATATTTCATTGTTTTAATTTTCAGAAGTTGAATGGTGGGTTTAACAATTTGGGATATTTGTACCCTTTCTAAACTAGGTGCCTCTTATTTTAACATTAAAACTATCATCTGTTATATTGTTTTGAGATGTTAAAATTTTAATAAAAGCTCCAATTTCTTTTAGTATATGATTATTATTTTTTCTTATGAAAGTATACTTTTCCAGAAGTTTAAATTTGGTAAGATAAAACGGAAAAATAATTATATACACACCCTAAATATCAAATATGTGGTATATATTAAGTTGGTAAATTTTAAAAAAATAAAAAAGTGTTCTACACACTTCTAATGAACTATTGCTTTCATATACTTTTTAGATAAAAATAAGGGGTAAGTAATGAAAAATTGAAATTGAAATGAATGAACGATTTCAAGAATAAACTTAACAGAAAACCTAGAAACAAACATAGTTCATTAATACCTGTACTCTCTAAGTAAGTTCAAGAATATGCTGCATAGAAAACCTGGAATCCATTGTCCAATGACTAAAACTTCCCAAGGGCATCCAATCAATGTGTTCTTTACTATATTTTTAATAAGAAAACCCATTTCGCATTAAACCACAAAGAGACAAGAAAGATAACGATGCGGCGTGCCCCATACGTCTTGACAAACATAACTAAGGTTCCAAGGGATCATGCTGATGTTATGAGGAAGTTTATCGTGGGAAAGCTTAACTAATTTAATATGCAAAGGGAAGGATGTAACAAGGTGTACAATGCAATTATAATATATATTAAAATCCAACATTGAAACCTTCGAATGTATCACTAATATTCTTCAGATTCCATGTGGCCTTTGTGAAATAAAAGGAGTGGAATATCATCATCAGCAGGCAAAGATCCCAAAGTGATGAACCTAAGAATTCTCTTCAAGAAAGGCAAGGTTACATATAATATGTTCAAGATATAAGAGCCTAGCAAAAATTTGACATAAGAGAAAAGAGGCTATCTAATTGAAATACTTCACTCATCAAATGTATCATATATTACAAAGAGGAAGGGTTTACAACTATGCGCCCAAGTGGGTGAGCAACATCACCACCACCAGCATGCTTCACAAACTCTGCTGGGTAGAGGACGTTTCCATGGCATACGCCCATAATCCTCACTTCCTGCCCTCTACCATATCAGTACAATATTCCCTCAATTAAAGTCAATATTAGCTCATATCTACTTACAATTATCGGACAAATAAACACAAGCCAAAAAAAAAAAAAAACCTTTGAAAAACAATTGTCAAGAAACTCTCTCTGGTTCTTTAACCAAATGTTTATCATGGATGCGTGCAATCAAATGATCAGAGGTCTTGGTTTTCAAAATTCTCGCTCCTGCTGATGCAAAATCAATGGCGTGCAGGGATCAAGACAGAATCAAGTCAAGAACAGTATGAACAGCATCAAGCCCCAGGTGATGACAATAGTCATTTTGGCCCTTTTCACCATAATTAAGACTAATCTGCATCTGATTTTCCTAATACAGTTCACGCTAACCAGATAAGAGACACAATATTTCTACAACAGAACTGTACATGAAACTCTCTGCTGTACTTTATGGAAGTGAAAAAAGCTATGGCCATTTGAAATATGACTGGGAGTGACATAAATTAAAATCACAATTGTAGGATAACCTAGCACTATTTACAAAAATAGAATGAGAAATTTATCCAAAAGTACAAAATAGCACAGCAAGACAAGAAAATGCATCTATCCAGTTAAAAATGGAACCTAAGCCAAGGAAATGCACCTATCCAGTAAAAATGCAACCACGGAGCATGAACTCACACACTCACCTGAATGAAGGACCGAATCTGCAAAATGCTCATCAAAGATGGATGTATTGCAAATTAGAAAACCCAGGTCAGAGGACAAGGAATGGTTGAGGAATTAGCCAGCTAAACTGTGTGAACAAGAGAAAGCAGTTTTTCAAGTCATGTTGCCTTTGAAGCAACAATTGCAGCCATACATCCAAGACATTAATTTGGAGTAATCCAGCACCAGATGCAAAATTTCTACAAAGGTCCCATTAACCGCCTAAAATATTGCTATTGCTTTTCAGAGACAAGGAAGCACTTCAGTTTCCACATATTCAAGATGGAATGTCTTACTGTAGTTCCCTCAGGCAACAACAGGAAAGATCCCACTGGTTACATATAATGGAAAAGAAAATAATGCAAAAAGAAAAACAGCAATTCGGTGATAGAAAATGACTCTGTAACTCTACTCTATGAGGAAGGGCGAGTGGAAGACTTTGTTGGATATATTCTATTCAACTGGTTTCAAAAAAGTATAGGAGAAAGGGGGAAAACTTCAGGCATTTCACCTTAATACATGCATCATAACTAATTAAACCAATTGGTCTAACAATACATTTGAAGTTAGTACAGACATTAGAATCACACAAGCTGTATAATTAGGGGGAAATGAACAGTTTTAAAAAGTAGAGTGAATTTCATAATAATAGTTTCAGTTTGTCAAGGCCACGTAGAAAAAAGTCACTGGGCTAGGCTTTTCTGACTAAGCACAGAAGTAGGCAGCAACTGCAGATTTCAATAACAACCACTAGGCAGAAAGAGAAGCAAAATCTAAACCACTATCAATTCTTGAATAAAATAGTGAGGCCACTTTATATTAATAGCCACATCAAAGCTGTTACAGGAGACTAATAATCCGGCATAGCAAGTCTCGACTTTTTCTCTGCTTGCTTACATTCTATCAAAAGAATAATAATTTTGAAGAAGGCACTCTCTTCATCCGCTGTATCCACTAATACTAGGATCTAGGAAACTTGATCGCCTTTTACAACGAAGACCACCTCCTCCCACTGAACAACGACAATCTCTAGTACTAGGATAGCTATTAATGTTAGATGACCATGTCAACTTCAATCAATCAAACTACCTCCAGTTTCTCAGGTTCTGAACTTGACTACTTATTTTTAATCGTTATCCCAAGTTCACCTGCAATGATGACTGTAGTAGCCATGTCCAGAAACATTCCGTGCTCCACAACGCCAGCAAGCTGAAGAATCGCATCACTGGCAACCTTCAGATCCCCAATACTCTTGTTAAAGTACAAGTCTACAATGTAATTTCCGTTGTCAGTTACAAATGGTTCATCTTTCTCGCCAAAAGTCCTCAACTTAGCAACACAGCCTGAATCCTCAAACAATTTTTGAAGCCTAGCAGCAGTGAATTTCCAGCAAAAGGGTATAATCTCAACGGGCATAGCCAGTCCACTACCTCCCAAATACTTCACCAACTTGGACTCATCCACAATCACAATGAACTTCTTGCAAGCACCCTCTACCATTTTCTCTCTCAGAAGCGACCCCCCTCGCCCTTTCACTAAGTTCAAAAACGGATCGACTTCATCTGCTCCGTCAATCGCTAGATCCAAGGTTGGGTGCGAATCAAGATCTGACAACGGAATCCCCAATGAAACTGCCTGCTCATGTGTCTTCTTCGAGGTGGGTATTCCTATAATATTCTTAAGCTTGCCTTGACGCAAAAGCTCGCCGATTCGGTCCACTGCGTGCTTCGCCGTGGACCCGGTTCCCAAACCCAGAACCATTCCAGATTCAACGTACTCCACGGCTTTGTAAGCGGCGATTTTCTTCAAATCGTCCTGCGTTAGAATCACGGGAGGAGGAGATAAGGACGATGACGGTGACGAAGGCACCAAAAGACCCGCCTCCACGGCCGCTTTCTCAGACGCGATGAAATGGGGGCAAGGAATAGCCATCGTTACGGCCCTCCAAACAATCAAATAAGAATCAAAGGACAAAACTTTATAAAAATCCAGAAACCGGATAAGCCAATAAAACTTGAAAATTGAAATAATATCAAACCAAGGCAATAACGTATCGGGTGAAGGAGCGGATTCAAGAATTAAATAGTGGGTTTAAAAGAAAATGAACAAACAAACAAAATCCCGCCACCAGAAAAAGGTTAAAGGTCCGAATGAATATCAGAAGAAGAAAGAATCTAGGAGATATGGCCGAAGAAAGGGCAGAGATAACGGTTTCATAATAATAATAATAATAATAGAAAAATGTGTGGTGGTGATGAATGTTAGACAAAGGAACAAGGAAGAGGACGATAGGGTTAGAGTAGAGCGGTGGCGGATTTGCTTGGTTCAAGAGAAGAAGGGCTTGCGTTGGCTTTATATAGGGAAGGGAGAAGAGATTTGGGACGGTGGAAGATAAAAGTAAAGCTGGTTTGGTTGGATTCGAAAGGGCTGCATGGAAGATGATTGGGTTATTGCGCGCGGTGGACTGGAAAGGGCAGATTCGGCGAAGGAACAAGATCCTGCAGCAACCAGACTTTAACGTTAATTAATACCGATATTAATGTTATTCATTATTCAATGTCCAAAATTAATATTATCCTTTTCTTTTTATTACCATCACTATTCAGGACTCAGGAGTGCACCGCTACCCCAATTGGCTCAGAGAGGATACTTTTTCTCACATAACTTGATTAAATTTTTAACACAAATAAATACTTCTGTTATTAACCTTGGAGTTATTTGTGCAATTGATCTTAGTTTTAAATATAATATTTATTTTTTATATTTTTCATTTTTTTTAAAGTATTCTTGTTGATACTCTCCCAATCATAATCAAATAAGAGAGAAGGAAAGTATTAAAAAAGATGATTATAATATTTTAATAAAAATATGTCATATTTTTATAATTAATTAACTTATTCAATTTTTAATTTAATCAAATTAACTAAATAAGTCTTATATTAATAACTAAAGGAGTATCTTCTTTTTCTTTTTTTTTCAATACAAGATTCACCTTATAATTCAATATGAATCTTGTATTTAGAATAGAAGGTGGTAGTATATCGAAAGTTAGTAATATGTAAAATTTAGCAGAGTATATCACCACATTATTTACTCCCTCCCATTTTTTGATATGATGATTTTTTGAAAAACCGTAGTAATTACTTATTTTTTAGGGAAAAAACTACACTAATTTAATGAATTTTATTAAGGAATAATAATTTTAAAAAGAATAAAAGAATATGAATATATGTAATGAAAATAACTAGTTTTAACTATTTTTTAATAAAAATTTAAATGTACGGAAAGGACTTAATTTGTATAAAAGTTGGCAACCGTTTTACATACATAATTATCCCTTCCAACCTTATCAGTACTTCTTTTGCATAAAGTAGAGAGAACGTTTCTTTTGGTTCTATATATATAGGTCATTTATTAAATTTTAATATAAACATACTATTTTATTTTTTATTTAATATAATTTACTTTTCTTATTTTATTTATAAGTTATTTCTAATATATCTCACATAAATCAAGAAAACTCTTAAATTTCATTAATTCTTATTTAAAATTCAATAACTTTTTAATGTTATTTCTATTTAAGATAGATTATACCTTATATAAACAAAATCAGCATAATGATAAATAAAGGATAAAATTATACATCTATATAAAAAAATTCTCTTACTGCTCTATAAACAGAACCGAAAAATATTTTTTATAAATAGGACCAGATGAGTAAATAATTATTTTTAAAAAATATACATTAAATAAGTCTAAAATCACAAAATTATTATATTTTAATAAAAAAAATTAATGCAATTTAATACTTTTCTTGATCTATATTATCTTTATAAATAATTGGAATAAAACCAGAGAACTATATTACTAGCACGATTGTCGGCAAAAGGCAATTCAACGGATTCAAATGCATTGGCTCCTGCCCAACCCCCCCGTCCTTTTGTTCACTATTTTGCTCCCTTTCATTATTATTATTTTTTAAAAAAAAAAGGTGTCTCGTCACTTGAATGCTTTAAAATATATTTTTTAGTTTTACTGCTTGATTTGAAATATATATGATTCAGATTTCATAATTGTGAAAACTTTAATACTATGGTAAAAAAAAAAAGTTTCACCAATTTTTATTTAAATGATCTTTTTAATAATATTAAAATATATTACTACTTTTAATGATAATTATAAAACCTTATTTGTAAAATACTACTTTCAATTCTAATTATAAGATTTTATTTCTTAAAAAAAATTACAACAGAACAGTAATAACAAAAGCTAACATCCTTCGTTGCCTTGCCGCCTCCACTTGACGTAAAGGTGGAGTGCAGTGAAGGATATAAAAATTTTAAACAAGATTATGTGACTGCTTAGCTAAATAGACCACTAGGACAATCTAATCAATAATAGTATGATTTATTAGGATTTTCCAGTCCCTAAAAATATAAAAACAATCTTCATCAACAACACCTCTGGAAGGATGGGATCTAATAATTAAATTAACAAATTTTATGCAAACATTTGATAGTCCAATATAAATGATTTTATAACCAGTAATGTTAATTATAAAAAATAATTGGAATATTTTTTTAAAAAATTAAATTTAGATTACTCATATTTAGTTTAAATATCCAGAAACCATAATAAGTATTATTATTCATAAACCAACGGGAGTTAGATCTAGTAGAAGAGACTAAGAGGCTAATCTTTTATAACATAATGAACCAATGTTTGAATTTTTACTGAGAAAAACGCTCACATTTATTGCCCAACAAACATTTCAATCTGAGTTGGCTCCAATAAGATAATACCTGTACCTAGCAAAAAAGTATTATTATTCATAAATTATAAATAATAAAACTCATTTTCTGTATAATATAGGGAAAATCCCAGAAAAAGCCCTTGGAATATACCAAATCCCAGATTGAGCCCTTAAATTTCGAAAATGACAGAATGGGTCATTGACCCAATTTGTCATTTGTGAAATTCAGGCGAATTGACATTTTTGCCCTTGAGCAAAAGTGAGTTTATTCTCTAAACAAATCTAGGTAACGCTTATACTGTTCTAGTGATTACAAGATTCGTTGTAGTTAATAATAAGGTACCTGACAATAATAAGATACCTGACTATGAAAAAATGAGTAGTTATTCTCTACACAAATCTAGGTAATGCTTACATTGTTCTAGTGATTACTGCATTAGTTGTAGTTAATAACAAGACACCTGACTATGAAAAAGTGAATAGTTATTCGCTATACGAATCTAGGTAACACCTAAACTCTTATAGTGATTCCTTGAATCATTGTAGTGAATGAATAAATGAGGGCAAAATTGTCAATTCGCCTGAATTTCACAAATGACAGATTGGGTCAATGACCCATTCTGTCATTTTCGAAATTTAAGGACCCAATCTGGCATTTCTCATATTCTAAGGACCTTTTTTGGGATTTTCCCTATAATATATGTAAGACGTGCACTTATTTTGTTTTTTTGCCAACAAACGTGTTATTAGTTGTAAATATATATATATATATATATATATATATATAAATGCATTGTACAATATGCATAAAGTTTATTTTTAACGGTTGGCTAAAAAAAAAAAGCTGATTTTTGGCGACAGGCACGAAGGGTGGACCGTTTTTGTCTGTCACTTGGTGAGGAGCAAACAAAGCTTAGGCCCATTGGCCTTGCAAGTTGGGATTTTGTCTCACGCCCCCTGGAAAAGGCTTGTACATTTTTGTCCCGCTTAGGTGAGTCAGGCTTATATGCAAAATACAATAAGTAAATTATATAGATTAAAAGGTTGATTAAAATTAATTAAAATAATAAATATGTAAGAAAATGAGTTTTATTTTTCCAAAAATACTCTTATTGATGGAGAAAGGGAGAGTGAATGAGGGAAAATGGATAGGAAAAATAAATGCGTTAGATATCATTAATGCACTAATATGATAAGTAATTAATCGAGAAAAATTTAAAAAAAATTGGTTGAAACTTAAATTATTCTTTAAGTGTATTTTCATGGTGCAGATGGAATTTTACCCTCAACACCTCAATTTTTTTTAATTGTGTAATTTTATTTATGATTTTTTAAAATATAATTTTACCCACAATCATTTTATTTTGGTATAATTTTATTCATTATTAAATATATACATAAGCACATGATTATACTAAAAATGATAAATATAAGAAACAAAATAGATCAAATTTTTATATCCAAAACCAAGCTTGTACTCGAGAATAAACCGGTCCTCATTTTAGAGAGAGAGAGAGAGAGAGACATCATCATCACAAATGGTGCTGCAAGTCTAAAGCAGGGCCACAGAGAAAATGACAATTATTGAAGAAAGAAAAATCTTTGTTGGACACAAGGTCATCAAAATGTTAGGGTTTTGTCAGTTTCTGGAAAAGAAATTGGCAACACACAAAAAAAAAGAAAATCCTTTATTGATAGTCATATAGCCTCAGCAAGAAGAAAAGTCAGGATCCCTTTTATAACCTCACGCATTTTTTTTTTTGATAAAAATTTTTTTTTGATACAGTTCTTAAAACACAAATACTCTTCTATTAGAAACAATCATATTCAAAACACTATCCTGTACTAAATGTAGACACCTCTCTCGGTAAGGATTCGAATATTAATTTACCACAGAATTCGCACACTTGGTTACACCCAACTCTTTTTGGTGAAAAGACAATTTATTAAGGGGAAAAAAACCAAGTAAAATGACATACAACTATTTAGACCCTATTACACAATAAAAGCAAATGAAAACGCAAGGGTCCAACTATAACCGAAAGGAAAACAGAGAAACAAAATGGACAACATGCGCACTAAAACAAGAAAGAGAGGAGCTCGGAAAGTGCTTGTCCAACTTAAGCCATGAGACAGCAAGGTAAGCAGAGGATGCAGAAGATGAGGCGACCACAATTAGTGGAATACTAACTGTGCATGACTGAAAAGTTTTGCATAATTATGTGTACAAAGAAGCTAATTATGCAGACTGATTAGCATGATACGTTCTAGAATGAAACATCAATCGAGTCACATTATAGATCCACCTCCAGAGTGTAGACTACAGTAATTATGAATTATGATTTTAGCAATGATCTCCTAAATTCTGGTTAATTTGTTATTGGACTCCCTTCAAAGCTTTTGCCTCCTATTTTATTCCGGGAAACCAAAAAAAAAAAAAAAAAAGAGTAGGGCCACAGCAGGATAATAAATTAATAACCAAGCAAGCATGATAAAGAATCTCGCAAGCAGAAAGTGAAACAAAACAACCAAAGAGAAAAAGACAAAACAAGGAACTGTGAACTTTGCAGGAGTCGATTTAAGATCCACAGGGCACATGGTGCGATTTATTAAAAAGCCGGGTAGCAAGAATCCAAGGAACCACACATTTGTTTTGTCCATAAAAGCCAAATTCATATAT